TCCTATGAAGCATTTCTATATGCTTGAAAAGAACGCGGAACGCGTGAGAGAGCTATCATCCTCCTCACGCCCCCGCTGCCGCAGTAGGTAGGTGACACTCTGGGCGTCGGGGATCGAGAGACGGCGGGTAAAGGTAGAAAAAGAGCCAATATACCACCACAGACGGGTACCTATAGGTGTATGCGGCGTAAGTGCAATAAGATACCACGGCCTCGACCTAGAGAAGGAGAGGGAACGGGGCTTATTCAGTTACAGTCTGACACTCCTACTTGCCTGACCCGCGGATGACGAAATCATTTGATGATTATCCCCGAAATAAAAAGCCGCTTGTATTCTGACGCTTTATAAGGAAATGGTCACTTATCAAATGCAATCAATTATTTTAAAGGGTCCGCCTTAAAGCAAAATAAACAATATTTGATATTCATAACTGAACAAATTAATTATTTTTAAACTTTTTAATTCAAATTTTTCTATCTTTCGCTAAACGACGTCTTTTCGTGTTGTACCATTTTTCATTAAAGCTGAAGCGAAGATTTTTTTTATATATATTGCAGGTATTTTACACAGGCGCAACGATTCACTCAACTATGAGGGAGTACCACTGTGGGTGCCTTTGTAAACAAAAAATTACACACACACAAGCCACCCATACCTGGATCAACACTGCGTAATCCATTTAACGAATCACGGTGAAAGAATCGAACCCTTTGCAATTTACGAGTAGGATGTCCTTTTCAACATCGCATCGCAGTTTTGTTTACAAGCCCTCTACAGTATCTTCTATACAGTATTTCCATACATATCTCTTTGCTATCTTCATCTCCCGAGAAATCCTTTCGGACAGGATTTCTTCGAATTCTTTCCCTTACTGCTTTGACCACCTTTTTCGTACGAACACTACGTGGACGGCCAGATCTTTTTCTGTCACAAACAGAGGAGGTCTCATTGTACCTATTAATAGCCCGGTACACAAACATTTGACTAATGCCAAGTGTGTGGAGAGTTTTAAAAATTGCATTTGGCTCCATACCCACTTTGTGTAATGCAATCACAGCGATTCGGTTCTCTTTATCACCCCACTCCATTTTAATATCGCAAAATATTGAATAATTTATTGGCGCCAATAAAAAATTATATGAAAATGACAGATTCCCAATTCAAATGTAATATTTTGTTTATTTTTAATTGTAACAGTATTTATGGCCAGACTATGTATATTAAACATACATATCTCTTTTTATATTTAAATAAAAATTAGTGTTACACTGTTCTCACATAGTTGAACCAACTGTTTGTAAAAGGAATAGCTGTATGTGACACTGATTTAAAAAGAGTAACCATGGAGTTTCTTGCTCGTTCTTCTCCATCGGAATATACACTTTGGAACGAGCAAATAGCTTCACTAAGAGGACTGACCGACAGACTGGCACTATATCTTCAAAATTTTGTTTGATGTTCAAAAGTGCCTGTAAGGGTCTAATTGAAATAAATGATTTTTGACGTAAACAAACACTATATAATATGAGGGTTTAAGTTAATAATTTTAATTAGAGCCATCATTTTAAGAAACTATCGCATTCAACCGAACAAAACAAACAAACTCTTCAAGTAAGTACCTAAGTATAAATAATCCTAACATCACAAAGGTCAAAATAGAAAAGGTCGTGCTCTAGATGGGAGTCCATTTGTGGTAATCGTTTACAATGTTGGTAATTGAATCGTGCTCCCTACAGCGAACAAAATTAGATGAGACATGGAGGGCATAACGAATCAAATTATCTTGATGCTTCTTATAAGTATGTACTTGTTGACGGGCTAGCTTTTGCCACGACTTTGTATGTTTCGATATATTAGGTTTTTTTTTATGTAATATTTCGACAAACGAGCGGATGGATTATCTGATGGTATGATGGTAAGCAATCAGCGCCGCCCATGCACACTCGCAACGGAGGAGTTACGAGTGCGTTGCCGACCTTTTAGGGATTAGGGATTTGGAGATTTAGAGATTGAGGAGGGATTGGGGGAGGGGAAGGTTTGGGCCTCCGGTAACTTCACTCACACGGCGAAACACAATGCTGTGGTTTTTTCACGCCGGTTTTCTGTGAGGCCGTGGTATCAATCCGGTCGAGCCGACCCATTCGTGCCGAAGCATGGCTCTCCCACACTTTTATTTTAATTTTCGTTTAAAATGGGATAATAGGCCGGCACATCCGGAGTAATACTACAGCGTCACACAATATTGATGTGAAACAATACTTGTGTGAGGTGGTATGTTTTTTTTTGTTAGGGGAAAATTATCAAATGGCTTCTCCCGCCCAGGGTACGGCGAGAGAGAGTGTCTGACTCTTACATCTTACAGATCACCTCACTTCCCTGAGGACACGGTGGTGCTCAGCCCAAGCAGGCCACACCGCCACCGTATGTTCCATCGTGACCTTAGGGTGGATGAGGTAGTAGGTTGAAGGAGAAACACTCTCATCCACATTCTTTTAAGATGAGAACCCAGTCACCACATTTCAACCATTCTTCTATGGAAACTTTCACTTTATAATTAATTACCTTATCAGGTTTATACTTTCAGATGATCTATCGTCAGTAGTCCTAAATAATTTAGATTAAAACACATGTTCCAAGAAAACTACTTCTTCCTATCCAACTTATCTACAAATCTCTCATTAAGACTTGGCGACCTACCATCATATCTTGGCCTCTAAAACTCCACAACTTCACCAGATATGATTGAGACGTTCGATTTGAGAGGTATAGACATTCTGGTGATATCGTACCTACATATATGTCCATTTGGATGTTTAATTTCTATTGTCAGGTATACTGTGAATTTGTGATTGATATTGGATTCGGTTGCTTGGACTTTCGATCCTGTAGAAACGAACTGTCAACCATGATATATGGTATGCAGAAGCAAGCAAATAGACACTGATTTTGTACAAAAATAGCAACTATTTGTAGGCCACATTGCTACCGACTAACGCAAAATATGCATTCATTAAAAAGTGGATTATTTTGTGTAACAATCATTAAACACACACTGCATTACATCAAATTGTGTAACTTTGAATCAATATTTGTTTTATTTTATCTGTATATCAAAGAATTTGGTTGACAGTGTCATCATCATCATCAGCCTATAAGTGCCCAATGCTGATCAAAGGCCTCTTCTCACACGGAGAAGGTTAGAGCATTAATCACCACGCTTGCTCAATGCGGGTTGGCGATTTCAAACTTATAATTAGAAATTATAAGTCCAGGTTTCCTCACGATGTTTTCCTTCACCGTATGTCAGTGGTGTCTAAATAATCATAGAAAGTACATATAACTCGGAAAAAGTCACATTGGTACATGCCAGGTTCCGAACTGACACCCTCATGCATGAGAAGCAGGCGCCTTAACCTCCGGGCCACCACCACATTTAACAGTTGACGGTGTACAATACATAAATAGATTCACGTTATATTCCAGTCATCTGAACCCGACATAATTCTGTACTTTTTCTTGTTCTATTGTGATTTTGGACCTATGATAGTAACTTAATTAAAATCAGGGCCTTCTTGACCTGCAAACTGTTAACAATTTACTAATTACGAAAACAACATTCATTTCATTTTTATGTTGACTATCTCGTTGGTCACAAAGAAGACTGGCAGGTAAAAAAAGTAAACTATGATATTATTTGGAAAAAGTACAACACATAAATGGATTTGAGGTTTTCAGTAAAGTCTAGAAAGGTGCCCGGTATTAAACAATACTCTCAGTCCTACTACATGAAACACGTAAGTTTTGAGATATACTAAGGTCAAATCAATGATATCTGCATTATACTTATAATAAATCTGTAAAGAGGTCAATTCTGTACATTAAATAATATATTTTTAAAATAACTACCAGGTGGTGATAAGTGATCGATACCGATGGCGAAAAGGCAATCAGTAAAAAAAAATTTAAAGTAAAAAAAAATACAATTACCATTGTAATTGTGAAAAAAGGTTACACAGAAATTTAATACCGCATAGTTCGATTACCTCGATTGCGTGAAACAATAACAAAAACCTTCATTAATATTTATCTTTTTGGACGAAATGTAAACAATAGACATAGAGGTCCGGATATTGTACCGACTATTATCTTTCCACTCCAAAAACTATTACATGGAGATATAGAAAACAGATTGCAGAACACACACCACTGGACAAGCCCTCTAAATATTTATCCCCTCTTCCAATGTTTATCCACGTGATTTGTATTTGTTTTTTTGTATTTACCCTAACGGCTATGGAAAGAGAATTGAAATACGATGCATTAGATATGTTTAATTTGTGATGTGGTTTGAAAAAGCCTGTTTAAATTTAAATAGTTTTATATAAAAAAGAATTTGCTGTTCGTTAGGGTCGCTAAAATTGGAGGACCGTGGCTGGGCCACCGACTGCCATGCAACGCGTGCATCACGGTCTCGATTCCGGCACGGGACATCTTTGTGTGACTTACGAGTTACGGATCTGTGTGTCATATGTGAAATTGTATGTTTGTAAACGCGCACAGGACGCTGAAGAAGATTCTAGTGTGGGGTAACTAAAAAAAAGCAATAACATTCCAAATCAAAACCACGCAATTTTTTCATGATTTTTATAAAACTATAAAAAACATATTATAAACTAACATGTTTAACTTTAAAAAACTTTATTCAACTTAATGTAGTCACTTTATAACGTTACACCTGTATACAATGATATTTTAAGTAAAAAGGTGTAGATAGGTTACAAGCACTCAGCAAGTGATAATTATATTAAAATATGGCTAACTAGACACACTTTTTCATATTTATTTCTTTTTCACTCGCGATTATTGAATCATGCCATCCCACTTTGACGTGTATTATACGATTTATTCATATGTGCATAAGTGTGCCGTTTTTGAAAATCGAATGTTGTTTATGAAATCTATCTATACCCTTTTACTTATAATATCATTTCCTGTATACATTATTCTTTTAAACTATACACTTTTCTTTCTCCTGGAGCCACATAAAGTACAAATCCAATCGTTGATGGACCAGCGTCGTACCACAACGCACACTGTATAGCCAACGAAATTCCAATTGTAAACTTGGATATCTGAATAGCGACCAAAGGAGATTTCTCGTCTTTGCGCAGAGGGAAAACATTTGCATCAATACCGGGTGGATCTGGGTAGTATTTTATTTTCCCAATATGTTCCTTATCATAAGAGTGGTAGCCTTCACATTGCAACCACAACTTTGTCCTATCAGCCTTCATCCAAGCTTGGACGTCCGCCGGCGCACTCTTCGTTATCGTAGAATTAAACTGTAAAGGGTGACCTGCCCAGTTCAAACGCCTATTTATTCTTATGATAACACATGGCTCTTCTCCATAACCGTAAGGGCGTTCTCCACATGGCCCCAGATTACTTATTTCTCTCTTCCTTCTATTTTTTGAAAGTAATTTGTCAAGTGCTTCAACATACTTCTTATAGCCATTACTTTCTCCGTTTTTGTACCAAATCAATGGCGAATTATGTTCAGATGTTGGAGCTGCTGTCAGCCCTACAATTGGTTCTGAATATGAGAATGATGAAAATTTGTCAATGTTTTTAAAGTCGATCAGAACTTTAAGTATTTCTAAGGAAGAATATAGAACTATGAGTGTAAAGGTGATCAGGAATAGAAGATAAATGATTGAATACGCGAGGATGCAGACCCAGCTCTTACAGGTTCTCCCAAGAATTTGTCCAGTTTGCTTGTTGTAGAAAAATCGCATAAACTTTGTCCTGAATGGTACGTTCGCATTTTGATCAAGAGGAGCTGCTGCTGTCGATGGCTCTCCGGCACTTAGTGAAGGTAGTGTCTTAGGAACATTGTACGTCGGGCGAAAACCCTCTTCATGTCCGAGGGATCCCATTTTAGCAATAAGCAACACAACATTACTTAGCCTAAAACGATTAGAATGAAAGCTGTCAAATGTAATTGATTGACAAGAAGATATGATCAATACATTCAGTGTGGTTACGATTTATATTACCAATTAAAAAAGGTTGTATAGCGTATTTTTAAAGCCCACGACGTAAGCAAAAAAAAACAATGCCCAAGAAAAGAATGAGGAAACAAGCTCCTGAGTACTTCTGTAAAACCAAAATGTGTTAAGGTCATATATGCATACAATATATAATATGTAAGTACGTATGGAATAAGACACGATTTATATTTAGGAATAAACAAAATGAAGTGCAAACATTATTTATTCGTTTGAAAAATCGTGTTACTTAGGGAACACGAGAAGGTTTTGCAAGTGACAGGACACTCGGGCAGACATACAAGCTATTTCCTTATTTTATATTGTTGTTGTATAAAAAAACGTTGCCCCACTTTAGGATTTTCTCCTGTGTTGTGGGTGCGTTTACAAATATACAAACACCCAGACCCGAAACAACAATTTGTGGATCACACAAAGTGTTGTTCCGTGCGGGAATCGAACCCGCGACACATTGCACGCCAGCCAGTTGCTGCACTAACCATGCAGTCATACTTACATTTATATTATACTTACTTGGATAAGTGAAATAATATTCTTCGAGAAAAAGAAGAAGTTGTCGACAAAAAAATTGCCTTAAAATATGATCACAATGAACGTAGGTACTTAGCACAAAGTTTATAAGCCTCTTTTTGTTTATTTTTTGTGAGAGTAAAATTTTCAAATGATCTCCTCTTGCCCAGGGTGAGGCGTGAGGGAGTGCAGACTCCACTCTTACTGACTAGAACACTCCCCGTTCCTTCTCCTGCTTTAGGCCGAGGCCGGAAAGCTAAGCGCTGTACGCTCGGGTCTGGTTCTGGTCGGGCGGCGAGATACCCTAGTTTCTCTTGTATTTGGCTTAGGAACGAAACTGACTCCTGATAAGAAAATCTCTATCTCTGATACAATTATATTCTAACCGAGAATACCAAATGCATTTTAACAGATAGGATGGTGAGCGAGCAGACCAAAGGGAACGGCGTCATCGATGGACACTAAACAAAGGAGTTACAAGTACATCGCCTGTTTTTTTTTGTATTGGCTTCAGGTCAGGATTTTGGGAATTGGGGATTTGAGGGTTGAGATGGAGTTACATTTGTAAATAACAAAGTAAAAAATCAATACCAACAATCAACGTATTTTTTTTGTGAGGGGAAAATCATCAAATAACACTAAGGGCCGACCGGGCGGGAGGGAGTGTCAGACTCTTACTGACTAAAAACCCCCTGTTCCTTAGGTGAGGTCTTGGTTCCTCAAACAATCAACGTATGACGGCACGATCCTGCATGCTTAATGCGGTGTCTGGACAACCGGCTGTTTTTTTGTGATTTCTCCCGCCCAGGGTTAGGCGAAAAGGAGTGTTAGACTCTTACTGACTAAAAACCAACTCGTTCCTTCTCCTGCTCTGGTCCGAGGCTGTTTTATTGCACTTAACCCGGCTGCTACCGTATAACGTGTACCGTGTTCGGCTCCCGCACGCAACAACTCTTTATGCGATCCACAAATGCTACTGCTCAGGAGAATATTCTAGTTTGGGGGTATGATTTCATAAAGAAAAGTAGCTACTCAATTTACTAAAGAGTATTTATTGGTAATGATGAACGTATTATTAGCACGAAGCTATACAAAATACTTCACATGGCATACCAGCATAATAGTAACTCCATATTTATAAATCTAGAGAAAAGAAAATATAAAGAAAATGCGTTATAATATCATTAACGTCTATTCATTGTTAATTGCCATCTTTATTGTGGGAAAGAAATTCGTATTTCTTTGCCAAAAGCAATAAAAACTTGGACCAGTTATTATGATCTCTGACTAGGCAGGTGATTTTTGGAAACTTAGTCATAAATATACTGGTCGTTTTGTTGGTACGAAAACCAGTTTTTTTATGGGAAAAGTTCTTCGCTGACAAATGTGATGGTTTTCGCTAAGTTTTGCTTTGTAAAAGGTGGTAACGAGAGTTAAAGTTCGGAATTATGGTGTAATAACTGTCGAAGTGAATAATTATTTTTTATTATGATTTGTTTGAACGCTGAAGTTTTTTTCTTTATATGGACAACTAGCAGCCCGCCCACGCTAGGGCCCGGGTATCTAACAAATTTCCGAGTTGTGTTTTCTCGATTTTCATCTTTATTTGGCTAAAAGGACATGGCCAAAAAAGTACATTCCACGTACACGAACAAAATTAATACACTGTAAAATACAAATAGAAATATGAATTATTACGTAGTTTTTAGCCTCTCCAGACCTGACAATTATTATTAAAAAAATGTAAAAGTAATGCAACAAAATCAACTTATCGTTTGTCAAGTTTCGCCATAATAGTCCATAGAGAAAGATAAATAAAAAGACGTTCCAATTCCAAACCACATGTCTTAAACTACACTCGTAGAAAACGTGTGATATGATCGACAAATGCATTACACTAGGAACATTTTATTCATACGAAATTGTATTCATTGGTTTTAGTTGCATTTTAAAATATACTCATATTATAATAATATTATGTTTTATTTTTAACCAATTCACCAAAAAAAAAACTTAAACGAAACGGAACGTGTTTGACGCTTTTGACAGCGTGTTTTTGTTAACCTTGCTAATAATATTGTAGTAACTGTTTTGCGTTTTGGATTTGTTTTGTGGATTACGATGAGGTGCATCAACTGCGGAATAGGCGTACAAAGTCTGCAGAGGCGTCTTATATCCTCGCTTTCTGCACATCATCAAACAAAACTTTCACGTTGGTTAACCATAGCTCAAACCCAGGTATGAAGTCGGAATAGTATAATACTTAGTCTGTTTTTTATGTTTTATAATGGTTTGCGATTTTAAATAGTGCATCTTTTTTTAGTTGCCTCTGGGGACATTCATTTGTCAACCACGCTTCTTATTATTGAATACTGAGGCTGGTGAACATGAGAGACTACTGGGGCATAACATGGCTTGCCTTGGTTGTGGAAAATCGGTTCGAAAATAAGACACTATAATGTCAGTATGGACATTATAGTATCCATTGCTAGCTGGCTTAATATCACAAAATACTATTAATGTGGTAAGCATTTTGTTTTTTATTTAGTGTTTTATATATGTACTTGTATTTATCTATATTAATCTATAAAAAAAGTACTCATAGTAGGTATGTGTGATTATAATATCTATCTTTATGTATTTTACATGTTTGAATAGACTTCTTTAAAGTTGGCATGTTGTAACATAATACTTCTCATTTTACAATAACATAAAACTTGAAAACATGTGTTTATTCTAACTGGGGTTTATTTTCAGACCTCAAGAAGCAACTACGTTTGTCATGTGTGCTGTATGCGGGCAAATAGACAGACAGTGCAGGACTTATCACGAAACTTCACACGAAAGCAGGAATCAGCTTCAGATAACATGCAGGAATTGGGTTCGGACAACAATGCAGCAGCCCCTTATATTCAAGTGGTTAGCCCACCAGAGCCACCACCATTACCACCTGTTTTAAGCAGGCCGCTTCAAATGGAAAGTACTACCATATTACTACCCAATTATACAGAATATATATTACAGATATTTGTGTTTGTGTATGGAATGTACGTTACATTCCATACACAAACATAATAAAATACGTTTTATAATAAAAATATAAAAGTAAATTATTACGTAGTTTTGTTTTATTTGTTCTCCTTTATAAATAAATCATTATTCTTTATACATATTCTTTTGTTTTATTTTATAAATAAATAATTAAAACGCCATGGTTTTTAAAAGCAAAATCTTATTTCGTGCACTTATGGCCAGTAATCTGACTAAAGGTTTAGTGAAACTATTTTCGTCTTGTTTGTTATAATTACGAGTTCTTCATGTGTTTTATTTATTACAATTTAATTTAATAATATTCACGAATGTAAACACCAAAAATCATTGATGTACAGTGAATTCAATAACTATGCAAACGCCCATACAAAACTTGGCCATGTCCTTTCTTTCTTAAAAACAAATCTGGCTATATCAAATACAACAAAAAAAATATTGACAAACTTGGTCACAGTTGTTATTGAGATGTGCGCTTACCAACACAATTATCGATTCATGTATACTAATATTATAAACAGGTATGTAAGCTTGTAAGTTTGTATGTAGGGAGTAATCTTTGGAATCACTAGTCGGATTGCCAAAATTCTTTCACTGATAGATAGCTACAATGTTCCGAAGTGCTATAGGCTATAAAACATCACGCTACGATCAAATGGAGCTGAGCAGCGGGTGAAACCGCGCGAGAGTAGCTAGTTTACTATATGTAAATATATGTAGTCATAGATAAGAGTCCATAGGTTTACCTGATAAGCCTTTTGAATCCTAAAGATAGATACAATGATGCATCAAGTAGAATCTGTATTGCTAAGTACAAGTACCTACGCTACTTATGCCTGTACAAGGAATTGAATATCTTAAAAAAATCCCGAGATTTCTCTCCAATATTCAATTATCAGCGACAATCAAAAATAAATTCAATTGTACTTTTAATAAAGCGCTCTATGGAGGAGCAATTAACATAATGACTGACATTCATTATTTCTCAAAAGCTTCTCAATGAAGCAATTACAATAATAAGAAGAAATTGTTCATAGCGTTTTGATACTTAGTGTAAATATGTTACTAGACAGAATTCCAGGAACATATTAATGACTTATTCTAGTATAGAAATTGAATGTTTTCTATACTCAATTATGCGTATTATAATATTATGCTTATTATTCCATGAATGAGAAGGAGAAAGTTCCAGTGTATACATATATATAAATACTAGCGATCGCCCGTGACTCCGCCCACGTGGATAACGATTTTATTTATTTATTTATTTAAACTTTATGCAACAAAACATAACATAGGCGGACTTAATG